AAGTGGCATATCTTTAGAGGCTGGAAGCACGGGTGTAAGGTTTGTGACGAATGCGATCATCATTCACACCTATATTGCAAAACATGCAAAAAAGTAGCGAACGGAATATATAATCGATGTGAATGTAATCAGAATTAGCAATTTGGTAATAACCCTTCGGGACATAAAGTTTTTATTTTCTGTTTTTCCATATATTCATTAACATGCGTTAGAATAAATTCTGTATATATGTATTGAATCAATTCGAAAAGGTGTGAAAAAAGTAGTTGGAGTAATTGTGGGGCTATTAAAAGATAGGATAATAGCATGTGAAGAACTAAAAAGCAAGAAAAAAATTATCAGTATTTCTTATCACATCATGTTCCTGGCACCGAAGTGCCCATATATATTTTATTTATTACAACGGGTATCTCTGATGCATAAATGTGTATTTATTCCGATATACAAATGAATCATATATAAAAACAACCCTTTTTTTTCTCGCTTAAGTGAGATCAAATGTTAGTAAACTCATTCTGTGATATTATGTGCCTAATTTTTTTGGCGACGGCCCGTCACTGAATTTTAGTCATGTGATATTAGTAATTAAAAATAGGAAGATATACCAACACAGTACGCACGTGTCTAATTCACGCTAACCACAACTCTAATGCCGACCATGCTGTATCGATTAGCTTAATGCTGGCCATTTTGCTGTGAATCACGTGTATGCCGTGTCCCCTGACATGTAGATCGGTAATAGTATCCCTCACCTGAAAACGCGAAACCCACTTTTTTTTAACGTTGCTTTTTGACTAGTACCGTGTAAGTTTGTAAAATTTACTTATCTCCTCGTTACTTATATTGATAGTTTTGCCTAGCGTGAAGGAAGCGTCCGCGGTAAGGTTGAGGCCTATCGGAAGCCAGTTATGGCGAGTCACCATCAAGTGGTGGCCGGTAGATTTCGTTGCTTCAGAACTATCACGGGCTTGACATCATGAAAAGGTGTCCGCGGTAGGGTTGAGGCCTATCGGAAGCCAGTTATGGCGAGTCACCATCAAGCAAAGGCCGGCCTTGATTGAGAGATAGCTCGTTTTGTAGTTACTTGATGTCTTCTGTTTAGAATGTTTCTCACAATTTTCTCACATTTTACAAGATAATGGAACAAGTAAAAAAAAAGGAAGTTAGAAAAAATCAGCAAAATGTAAATATAAATTGGATCATAAATTCTCCCGATCCAACACCAATTGCTTTTTTTTATCTAACGCACCCAACGGCACGATCTCGAGCAATAGACACATATAAAAAATGTTTTAATCTCGCTTTAAACCGTAGTAAAGGCGCAAATCTTGATAAATTGAAAGCTGTGAATAATAATGTATGTACTCACCAATTTTTACATCAAATATGAAATATTTTTAATTAATTTCTTTTTTAAATAGGAAGAAATTATGCAACAAGACTGGGAAATTTGGCTAAAAGAAAAGAAAGTGGTATGTTTAACTATTAATTATTTCAGAACTATAGGTTTATTATTTTTAATATTCAAATTCATGCTTTAGATTCAAGCCTGTCGAATGAGTCATGATACGAATTTGCAAATTCAAAAAGACTTTGCTATAACGATGAAGACAGTAAGTCATTTTATGAGTATGGTTTTGGACATTACAACATTGTTCAAAATATTTTGACCATAGATTGCCGGTGCAACAAAAAACGATATAGGGAACATAATAATTTTACTTCGGGAAGTCATCGCATGAAAAGTGAAGAACTTGCTGAAGATGATGAAGATGATGAAGATGATGAACCTTTAGTTTCAAAAAGATTGAAATTCGATAACAGTGATATCAATGAAGTTGATGATATAGAAACTCAAAGTATACACTCGGGATTAACAGGATACAGTCCAAACAATCCATTTTTTATACCGGTTAAAGATGATGCATCGGGTG